AACTGACAAGACTGAAAATTTTTTCACTTGTTATTTACAGTAAGATAAAATACATTCACCAACTTTTATTAAAATAAAACCATTTAAACTGGGTGTTCGGATTTATATGTCACTTAGTATATTAAAAATGACGAATCGCAGAAAATATCACATGTATTCTTTTATCTATAGGGTTATAAAAACAGGTCAACCGCCCTATTTAAGAGAAAGATTTGTGCCTTTGCCTGGTCCCCAGAGAAGCAGAAATAATCTCAATTTTATCGTACCTAGGCATAGGTACGCGTTCCTTCCGACGATCGTTTGCCTATGGGATAATTTACGAACTTCAGTTAAAAGCTTATCATCAAAAACATTCTCAAAACTGACAAAAACGTTGTTACAGAATCACCAGCTACTTTAGCAGCGTTTGTGTGAGCAAAAATATCGTTTTTACATTCCTACTCGCTGACAAGTTGTATAGATTTGTTCTTCGCGTCCGTTGCCAGTTCCCGGGGGTTCTTTCTTCATTTTTGCCTTGTTGTCTTTCACCGCCTCTTCATTTGCCTCTTTATTGTTTTTTTTTATTTTGTTTAAGGACTTTTAGGGTGTTCAGGGCTTTCTCGCATGGACTCTTTGTATTAAAGGGTCCAATGTATCGGTTTTATAATCGCGAAACTGTCCTTTTTCGTCATTGCTCTATATGTAGAATTTCCTTTGTTTATGATGTTTATTCATGACGAAATAAATATTTTGAATTTGAATTTGAATTTGATGAAATATCTGAAATTCTAGCTTAGTATCTCTACCCGCTCCGTAGGTATATATATATATATATATATTTTTAAATTTCGTAAATAAAACTTCATCACCCTGTATCTCGGTACGGGAGCATCTTTAGAACCATATTTATATGGGCTTTTTTGTAATTTTTGGACGAACCTATTATCTTAGCAATTCCTGCCTATAAAATCGGCCAAGTTACTTGGTACGTGTGCCGCACAAAAAATAAATTTGAGAGGCATTAGAGAATACGTTTCTTCTCCAGGGAGTAAAGTGGGTTGTCATAGTTGCCAACTTACCTTGTCAGTCAAATAACTGAAAATGTATAAAATAACTGTTCTTTATTTTAATATTCATTACATGCAGGCTGACAGAAGCCAATCTAGCACTGGACATGCCATGCTGTCAAAATTGTTTACAATAGTATAGTGCTGCATTCTTGTCAAAATATGTAATTGTCTTACTTATTGCTCAAATCTGCTACTTTCAGTATGATTATCAAGCTTGGAAAAGCGACTGAAATGTGAGTGATAGCATAAAATATAGTGCTAGGTTTAAAGAAATGTCTCTAAATATAATTGCTACGTAAGCTAGAAACTGCTACTGCTACTCAAGATAGGCGTAAGTTTTCAACGATGTTACTTCGTCTCGTATAGAATTTATAAACTTCCCTTTTAAATACCTTAGAAGTTAATGTACTGTGAGTATTATATAGACTGGTTAATCATCTACCTGTCCAACTTTATTTTGTTAAAGCTCAAGATACAGATTCTTACCCTTCGAGATAAATTTAATATAAACATCATTTCTAGATAAAAGCTCTCAAAAATTCGTACTATTTGCTTTTCAAATGGAATAATACAAATGTTACATATTCCCAGAACAGGACAATCGAATATAAATACAAACTGCAATTTAAAGCTTAACATAATATTAATAAATTGCTATCATTTTATCTTTGTAAAATAAATATACATATAAACAAATAGTGGTAATTATTAATCATCATTTAAATCTGGAATCGCACAACGTTTGTTTTCCCCATTTTCATGCTGAACTTCAAAAGATTACATTTTTCATTAAATGCAGGTACGATTAATGACGGATTCAAGAGTTGATTCGACTAGCTTAAATTTTAAAAAACAAAACATTTGTTTCTACCTGCGCTATACTCTGAATGCAGTAATTATAATTCCATAGCAAACAGTTCTGACATTAATTTTGATTCTGTCAGCAAAATTTTGCCAAACATCAGAGACTATTAAAATAGCTGATTCTTTTAGGTTCGTTCTTTGTTCTTGTATGCACACTATTAGTTCAGTTTTCATTATATTAATGAATTTATATAAATAAATAATTAAACACTAGCACGATGGAAGGCAGTTCTTTGAATGTTTTGTCGTAGTATAATTGATTTTGATTACCCCGAAGCAAGGTCCCCAGGGATTTTGCTCTAAAAAATTCCCCGAAAGACATCTTTTTTTTTTCTTACAAATCCCAACAGACTGGGACAAAATCGCCCAATTTCGCAACGTCCATCATTCCACAATTTCGTTTTAAAGCGAATGAATCACTACTAAATAGCAACTCTAACTCTTATAGCTTTCCACAATTACTCTAAAACAAATCATATAAACAAATGCTCTCAGTCGCGCTAGCATTGACCAGTGCAGAATAGTAAGTTAATATAAAAGCGTAAAAACGATTTGAATACGGTGTAACGTGTATGGCATCCTTTAGCGCCACCTCAAAGTATAATGGAAATCTCTCCACATAAAAGATGAAAACATAAAAATTTGATAACAAGTATGGATTTCCATAATCGGAGAATACAAATACTTGTAAGAGAAGTTTTACATGAAGCAATGTAAAAAACTGAGTTCATTTGAAACGATAAGCGTGAAGCCATTTCTCATAAACGTCATTTAATCTCTGCCTTGAAAAATTAATTTGTACCAGTGGCAGCACGGTCACCATATGAGTTTTACTGGAAGACAGATAGGGCAGGAAATACAAGTACTATAACAAATGAAACCTATTTTTTTGTTTTATTCTTTTACACAAGAATTCTACAGATTAGGTAACATTTATCATATATAAAATGGGGCTAACATTTAAGAGGTGACATCTTTTGGCATTGATTAACGTATTCTACCTGAAGATAACCAAAGTAAGACTATATTTCCAAGCAAAAAAAACTATCCGAGATGAAATTAGATACCACAGCGTCATAGATATATGGTAATTTGTCACAGCTATGTTTCCCATTTTCGCGCTAACTAGAAATATATTTTGAACAAGTTTGTATCGCATATGTTCGGCTACAGCGCCACCTATGAGACATTAACCTTTTCAAAGTAGATTTATAATTAATGCCGAGAAGAGACAAGCTCTCATATGCTGTGGTATCTCATTTCATGTCGGATAATGTTTTGGACGCGAAAATATAGTTTGAGGTTGACTATATTTAGGTAAAATACGTTAATCAATGCTGTGCAGTACTGTGAGGATTTTGGAAAAACCGATAAATACATCTTGATACCTTTGGATCAATCTATTCTTGTATATATAAGAAGGAAGCTTGTTTATCATCCACAGTTCGGCTTACATACCACAATTTAAATATTAAGATGTAATCTGGTACACGCAATGCATTATTAAAGGCACATTAACAGGTAAAAATTGTTTGTAATGCACTTACATCAGTGTCGTTAGTGCAAGTCTCTATGTTTATCAAATAAAAAAATAAATATGCCATGCCACCGGCTCTTACAAAAAGGGAGTATCTTGAAACCAGAATGATTTTGTTGTGCTTAAAAACTGCTCATTGGTGACTTTTATTGTGAGGTGCAGTTTTCGGAATACAAAAATGAGAAATCAAGTTTGTTTATTCCTTAACGAACCTCCAAAAGATACTTCTCAAGCAGAATTGATTTAGCTTTGAGAAAATGACACTTATCTTTACAAAAACCGGTGGCTACAATTGTCAAAGACGGATAAGCTCAAAGAACACGTATCGTTTAAGCAGGGAATTTTGCGGGTTCATTTTTGAACGAAGGTTTTTCCATATTCGTACATGACGAATTTCCCCTTAACTTTCTCGGGCAACATTCTATAACACCCTTTATATCTATTGATTTTGCAGTTTTGAATACAATTAACTGTATGTCTGAATCATAAGAAAGCAGTATTCGATTTTTATGCTGATAATACTATAGTAGTTGACTAAGGCTAAGGCTTCAGCATATACAGCGAGCTTCATAATCGGGCAGTCCGATATAAAAACAAGCTTCATCTAAGCCATCTATAGAAAACTAATAAAAACTAGACTAATATATTCGAATATAAACTATAAAAAACAAAGCATGACAATAATAATAATAGAGGTAGCTTGAAAGACTAGAATGGAAGCCATACTGTGGTCCTTTGATGAGTCGCCATGACGCTGCTAGATGATGACGTGGATGAACTGTTGGTGTTAGTACGTACCCCAAAGAGATTTCGGGGTATGTAACGCGTCATCATTTCACGCAGCACAGTCTTGCCATAATTAAGAGTGTCCATTCCAATATGGAACACCAGAGGCGCTACTAACGCTTCAGGTCGTCCTAGAAGAGGGCAAACACATTTTCAGTTGATACTACCTACACTTCTCATATATGTTTTTTTCTATTCTATAATTACAATTATACTACATAAAAAGAGACGTAGTAGGAAACAAGTACTTTGTTAAGCGTTTCTAACATTTCATGTAGTCCTGGAAAATCTCAGTTAATAGGGGAGCGCGGGGTAATGGGGGCTATGGTGATTGAACGGAATGTAGGCAATTTACGTGATTGGTAAACTCTTGGCCGCTTCCGCCAACATTCAAGAAACTTCGCCTGACCGGTACGAGCCGTTAGTGCCATGAGTTCAGTCACAAGGGACGGTTGTTTGTTTTTCGCTGGGTCCTTATGAAAAAATGTGGATTGCCAGCGCCAAGGTAAGCATGAAGCTTTATCCTTATTTTATTCTGTTTATATTCATAACATCCGTAGATTCATTCACTAACTAGTGCAATTTGTTTAATTACGATTGGAATTAGAATTACATTATTTATATTATTACCTTTCAAAATGGTGGTCTGGGAGAAATGGGAGCCTAGGATGGCTTGTACTACCCGACATAGCTCTTATTACCCTACCAGCTTTGAAAATATATTTTCACACCATTTTTCATAAATATTTTTCTTTTTATTTCAGATGCCACGTAAAAAAGTTCGGAAAACCACGAAAGCTTCTTGGACCGCTGATACATTAGAAAATGCAGTCAATATCCTCAGAGCAGGAGACATTTCGGTGTACCGAGTATCTCAGCAAACTGGCATTCTTTACAGCACTTCAACGAAGAGATTTAATTTAGCGAAAGCTAACGACGATCGGTACAAAAGAATCCTAAGTTGGGAAGATATCCGGTATTTGAGCAATAAAATACAGGGTGGCGCATCGAAAACAAAACAGACGCATTTGCTGGCAGCTCAGTTTTTTTTTGGAAAAACGCTCAGACCTGTCGATTTTGTTTTCGAGGGGGACACAAGTTTGGCAAAAAATCACGTTAACACGTGCAGCCCCCAAGGCGGGGGTGACACCAACCCTAAAATCTTAAATGGAAAGGGAGGTCGAGTGATACCTTATTTCAAATGTCTTTCAATTCCCTTTTATAGTGATGTAAAATACATGGGCTTGAGTAGTTTTGAAGATTTATTGATTTAAAGCTTATAGAAGACTTTAATAGGTACATCAGATTAATTTGTACTACTATCGGGAGAAATTTGACTAAAAGAATTGACTCAATAAGTAAATGCTTTTCTTCACTACGCCCATGGTTTGTTTATCATTTTGTTGTTGAAAATAGCTATTGGAGAATTTTTTGTGGCAAAAAAAGTTAATTCTTGAAGAAATATAAGGAAATATCTCGTACTTACTTTAAATAGAAATTTAGTACATAGTTTGCGATTGATTTGACCAAACTTTGTTGCTAAAATAACTTGTAACGCTTAGTACATAAATTAACCATGGTATATTCCACAGCAGAAAGAGTTGAAATTATCGAAATATTTTTCGGAAATAATCAGTGCGCGAATAGAACAGTAGAAATATTTAATAAGCGACATGAGAACAGTAACGTGCATCGAAAATATGTTCTAGAACTTGTAGCTAAATTTCGGGAAACTTTGTCAGTCACCAATAAACGCAACATTGAAAATCCCATAAGGAACGAAGCAATAGAAGTGGGGGTTTTAGGGCAGGTTTTGTAGATCCTACTTTAAGTACCCGCAAATTGGAGACTGTGTGTGGTGTTAGTCGACGTACTGTCCAACGGATTCTAATGGCCCATAGTTTTCATCCGTATAAAATTCACCTGGTACAAGAACTTAATGAAGACGATTTTGATCGGCTATTACAATTTTGTGAAGATATGAGTGAACGAATTATAAACGATGAACGTTTTCTATTCAACACTTGCTTTTCCGACGAATGTTCCTTTTTCTTAAATGGCGTAGTAAATCGTCATAACTGCCGATATTGGTCCGATTCTAATCCCAGAATTTATCATGAGGTTCATACACAGCAGCCACAAAAATAAAATGCTTGGGCTGATATTTTTGGCGATCATTTAGTTGGTCCTTTTTTCTTACCTAGAAATTTGACCGGTGAAATGTATTTGGAATTACTGGAAGACGCCATAGGTCCTGGATTACGTGCTCGACAATATTTAGATCAGACTTTTCCAGATCGATGGATTGATAGAAGAGGTGCCATTGAATGGCCCCCAAGATTGCCAGATTTATCACCTTTGGATTTCATTATGTGGGGTCATTTAAAAAGCAAAATCTATGCTACTCAGATAACATCATTAGAAGACCTGCGACAAAGAATTGTGAATGAGTGCCTTAAAATGACTCCTCAAATGTTGCAAAATGTACGGCATCGTTTTGAGCAAAATCTTTATTATTGCATGGAGAGTCATGGTGGCCATTTTAAACATTTACTTGCCTAACGGGTCAGTTCGTTCTCCATTTTTAAATTACTTTGCTGCCAAATGTATTGATCTCCACTAATGATGATGTATAAGTTTTATTTAAGCCTTAAATCAATAAATCTTAAGAACTACTGAACTGAAGTACATTAGTTTTATATCATTATAAAGGGAATTGAAAGACCTTTAAAATAAGGTATACACTCGACCCCCCTTTCCATTTAAGATTTTGGGGGTGGTATCACCCCCGCTTAGGGGGCTGCACGTGCTAACGTGATTTTTTGCCAAACTTGTGTCCCCCTCGATAACAAAATTGACGGGCATGAGCGTTTTTCAAAAGAGAGTGAGCTGCCAGTAAATGCGTCTGTTTCGTTTTCTATGCGCCACCCTGTATACTGGCTAGACACATTCAGGCTATGTCAAATAAATTTCATGGACTGACGAGAGACCAATTTCGAAAAGTATGTTACGGTGTGAACTGCTAGAAAAGATTGGCTGTCTGGATTTTTACAGTGTCATTCTGAGTTGAGTATTAGAAAGGCCGAAGCGATTAGTATCAACAGAGTTCTCGAATTTAACAAGATAAAAGTAAATCTTTTTTTTTTTTTGATAATTTGGATAAACTGATGACGCTACACCACTTCGAAACTACGATGATTTACAATGTAGACGAGACTGGTATAACGACCGTCCAAGAGACTGAAAAAGTTATAGCTCTCAAGGGGCAAAAACGCGTCGGATCTGTGACGTGATGGGAAAGAGATAAGACTGTAACAGTTATATGTGCTATGAGTGCTTCAGGGTTTTTCGTTCCACCGCTTTTCATATTTCCACGAAAACTTCACTCACCACAGCTGGAAAAAGATGGACCTCACGGAGCTGTTTACGCATGTAGTCATAATGGCTGGACCAATGAAAATATATTTATTTTATGGCTACGTCATTTTATTAAATATACTAATCCTACTGCTGATACTCCCGTTTTGCTAATATTAGACAACCACAACAGTCATGCTACTCTCGAAGCTTGGAATTTGGCAAAAGAGCACCATGTTGTTTTATTCCTCGCTTAAAAGAGCTTACAGCAAAGAATGCAACTTGTAAATAAAGCCTATACTAGAGTAGATTCTATAGAAAAATGAGCATAAGGCTTTCAAGCAACGGGAATATGTTTAACATGTCTCCTATTCCATCTACGTCAAAGCAGACAATAAATAAACCATCGACTGCTAGCCCTGCTTTGAGTCCATCTATTCTTTGTGACGCATAATTTCAAACAGAAGTAGTTCAGGAGGAAGCTGCTGTAAGCCCAGCTCCGATTCCAACAATATCATGTGCAAGACCAACACGAGCTGCTATTCGGGAGGAACATACCGTCAGATCTACCGCAACTCCGTTCCAATCATATTTGGGACCGACACTAATGACGATGAAACAATACCTGACTTTGTTGATATTCTAAAAATTGTGAGCCCTCTGCCACAACAACTCATAACTAATAAAGAAACGAGATCGAAGAACAAACAACATTTTTAAATCTTAACAAGCACACCAATGAAGGCAGTATTTGAAGAGAAGAAGAGAAAAAGGAATGAAAAAGGGAAAAAAACTAAAAAAATAAAGAAGACGGTAATAAAGAACATTGTGCCGAAGGTAAATGTAACAAACAGAAGCTTATTAAAGATAGAGCGGTTAGAAGCAAGAAGACCACAATCAGAAACAAAAGGGCCAAAAAAGGCAAAAAAATGTGTTTAATAGTGATGATGAAGATTCACCTGATGATCAAATTGACGAACGTACAATTTGCGACGACGAGTCAGAATACTCAGAAGAGGAAACTTTATGTGCAATTTGCTTAGACACGGGAAAAAGTGGAGAGATGTGGTACCGATGCAGAAGTTGCAGAAACTGGGCTCATGAAAAATGCTCTGGAAGAGATAGTCCAGCTTCTTATATTTGTACCTTTTGTTTGGATACGTAAAATCCGGGTCATAAAATTATTGAAGAAAAACATATGATAAAATTATTGAAGAAAAACATATCTTTATTTTTTTTATTTGTGTTACAATGAATAGATCGTAGTAGCTAAGTAAGATCACATTTAAAGTATGTTTAGCTTAACTTAATATATGACTGTATTTAATCCTAATAGTGATTAAAACATACCTGTATGATTATTCTAATAAATGTGGTTTTTATGAAAGTTTTCCCTCAGTAGGTTCCCATTACCCTGCGCTCCCCTACAGACTATACTTTTCACTCATATTTTGTAGTTATAATTTACAATAATTGTACTTCATAGAAACAGACGTAGAAAGTAGAAGAGGGTAAACATTTCAATGCATATAACCTATAGTTCTCACTCATATTTAATAATAACGTGTTTTTTATTTTCTCATTATATACGTACAATTCGCATACACAAGAGAAAGACAATAATATTGAGACAACCTTAAGAGGCACTTTTCCCTACAGGTGTTCTTCCACTCAGCCCTTGTCTAAAACTAACAAAAAAAAAACAGATATAGGGCCACCGAAGTTAAACCTGGAAATTGTAATAATTTAATTGTTTATAAGATAATACAAAACTAGTTCCACAAATTTATGTGTATTGCATGGTTTGATATAATAAGGAAGGGAGTTATGATATCTAGCAAAAAGAACTGGTATATTGATTAGCTGTTGGTATGGTTTCGAGATTATCGAAATCTGCGCAAAATATTACTTTTTGGTGGGCAAAGAGGGTTCTTATAGCACAATTCTTTGTGATCTACGCTGAAAGCACATAAGCGCAATATTTTCTCCATGGTTAGCCAATTTAATTCCTTCAATTTGTGTGAAACGTGCTCTTACTTTTTGATCCCGTATAGGAATCGAATGTATACGTCCTCTACACGTTGAATACGATTAAGGCTGTTTTCATCTAAACATGCACCATATACATGTGCACAGTAGATACATTGTACAAGAGTATTTCTTAGTGTTTATTGATGAATATGCTCTATGGCGATAGTGTGATTTCCTAGATGCGTAAGCTCTCTGTACACATGTCGTTACGTGATCAATAAACCTCAGATCCTGGTCAATGAGTACAATTGTACTTTTGTAAGAAACGAATGCAGTAGTAAGGTTGATTATATTAATGTAGAACACTGTATATGCTAACTCCTAAAGGAACTGCTTGAAAGCTGCATTTGCAATATCAGATCCTAGTGTAGCACTCTAGATGTGTGTCTATTACTTATTAATATATACGTTTTGACTGCTCAATAAATATCATTTGATTTGATTTGATTTTGATCTTTAGGTCATCCTAGAAGAGGGGAAATATTTCATTCTAGATACACTCACATTTCTCATTTATGGTTTGTTTATTTTATAAATGTATTTCATAGAAATGAATATGGCTGCGAAGTACTTTGATAACTCACTGATGGGGAAAACGCCTCCAACGCTTCAGATCGTCCTAGGAGAGGACAAAGGCTTCAACAGGTACAAACATTGATTAACACTTCTTTAGATGCCACCTCTGAAGCTGTTATGAGTTTCCTTCTCTCCGATTGAGTGGTTCTGAGAATACGAAATCTTAGGAATAATTACGGGATTGAGGAGTGACGTCTCCTCGGAAGTTAAGAATAAACAATCTTCTTTGAAAGGAAAATGGTTTTTATTGCATGCTTCAATACAATACTTTAAACCTTGAACATAAATACGATAATAACATAAGTCCAGATAAATTTCGTGTAATTGATTTGGTTTGGGGTCTAAAGAAACACAATTCCATGGTAAAAAGTTGGCGACGTTTCAGGAAAATATGTTTTCATCTTTCGGGCCTCAACAAAAAAATTAAAATACTAACTTTACATATACTATTATTAACAATTTAGATAAAAACATCCAGGTAAAAGACGCTGACTTTAAACTAAACACGATCCTTGCGTCCGTCCAACCAAACCACGGACAGCTTGTTTCGTGCTTTTTAGCTACTCATCGGCATGGACTAGGATTGGTCCCTGGTCTCTGGGACAAAGAACGAAAGCATCGCAACTATCCTCTATCCCGGAAGTACGGTCTAATGAAATTCGATACTCATTTTAGTTAAAACAAACAATTTTAAGATATTCCCGATTTTTTTTTATCAACAGTATGAACAATTATTGTCTACGAGACCCTTCCCACTTCAGTTGGCCCAACTATTGATATCTTAGTTTTTTCTTATCAAACACAAATGATAAAAATGTCTCAGGGTGATATAGGTTTAAAATATTAACAATGAATATTTTGATAATATATAGTAGAAAATACCAACTTTATCACTCCCTAATCAAATTTGTAGCATAAAAATAACACATGTTGCAATTACAGCATATTTCAACCCTAAAGTTGCACGACTTGTTCATAGGCCAAAGAAAAGCCACTATTAACTCCACAGCAAAAGAAAAATCGGCTTAGATAGGCTAAAGAACATAGACAATGGACACCTCAACAATGGTGTGCAATACAATGGAGTGATGAGGCCCGATTCGAAGTTTGTGTTGGTGACAGTCGCAGTAGAGTTATTCGCAAAAAAATGAAGCATTTTATGTTGACTGTCTGAAGAGAAAAGTGAAATTTCCAGCATCCATTATGGTCTGGGGTAGTATGTCTTCAAAAGGAGTAGGAAAACTCCATTATATTGATTGAAATGTGGATATAAACAAATATTTGGAAATTTTAGAAGAATCGCTTTTACCAGTGATGGAAGAATGTTTGACATCCGGCAAAGATTTTGTGTTTCAGCAAGATGGTGCAGCGTGCCATACCTCAAAAAAGGCTATAAAATGAAAATAATGTACCACTTTTGAAATGGGTTTCTAGCAGTCAAGATCTGTCACCTATTGAAACTTTGTGGCACGAGATGAAAAAGGTTCTACGACAACATCCTGCTAGTACAATCACCGAACTGAGACAAAAGCTTCAAGAAATATGGGATTGTTTTACACCAAATTGCAATATGCCCCAAAGAATTTCAGCCGTAATAAAAAATAAAGGTGATGTTACCCAATGCTTTGTTAACTTCGCGCATTTATTCGCACATTGTTTATTTGTTCAGATGTTCTATAAGCTATAGGTCTAAGTGATTTCAAATATGTATTTTTTAAGACTAGAGTATATCTAAAATGTTTTTGACAAAATAAATTGTTTTAGAAGTAAATAGTTTCGTCATGTTTAGTTTATAAAGGCATATTTTGGGCCAACTGAAGTGGGAAGGGGCTCGTATAACTCCATATAATTCAATAAGTTCCGACCAAACATCTTTAAAAGGCCGAGCATGGAAGGATAGTTCCCACTGACTCAAATATTTGTAGTTTCTAGGTTTTAATAAGGGTCAACTTCATAACGAGTGCTATTCTGAAATGCTCAAAGGGTATTCCTTACCGCTTGGCGATATCTTATCGACAAACGCGAATGGCTTCGTAGGTATGGATCCCTACCTGCTAAAAGATGTCGGTCAAGGTTTCCTCCTTTATGTCTTACGCGTGATAAGATATTGTAAAGTAAAGGGCTTCCAACTGCTCTCGAAAGTGAGTTTGTTACGGATCCTGAACTTCGCCTCAAACATGCCTGGAAGGCTTATCGAGTCGAAGACCACGTCCCGGGGATAAATACCTCCAACATTAATTAGTTGAGTATTAAATTCTGAATCTCAGACTCTCCCCTTTCCCTTATTTCATCCCATTTGCCCCTCATTGTTGGAATTAATCGCTCTTTGATTATGGGTGAATATTCGATGGACTTTGTTATCAAATATTCAGATTTACCAAGGTAGGGAACACATGTACTGTTAAGAAATGAACACGGATAAAAAGACGGATTGAATCTGGCAGCCTGAGATCTTACAACTTGGAGGCAGTTGAATAAATTTTGGGTTGAACCGTTTGTATTGTAGCCTGAATACAATTTTACAATTGTGCAATATCCCGAAACATTGAATAAGGCCAAGAGCCAAGATGAGACCTCGTCTGGGAAAGTGTTTGAGCGTCTGGTTTACTAGATAAGGGTGAAGAGTTAAATCCTATAAAGTATCGCAAGGGGTAAAATCGTCATAAAATCCAAATCAGCAAGAGAAAAAGGGTGATTCAACAAGGCACCGATCGTATTTTTCTCCACCAGAAAAAAGCTGGATCAAACAGTTCTGTTTGATGATTCGATTTCATGGTATGAATTTGTTTCTTGGAACCAGTTCGTTCACTGTTTTAAGCGCATGGGTATGATTCTTTAAATCCTCAAAACATACATACAAGCCCGCATTCATTATTTATTACTCTGCTGCAATTAGATCGTGAGTTATCCCGCAAAGCTGGACAACGAATCGCAGGATCGAAATAAGACAGATCAAAGCGCTATCTATTACCGGAATCGACCACTGCGAGAGGATATAGCAGCTTTCGGTTGGAAATGTAAAAGGTCTCAGTTCGCGTTTTAAAGCCCAGTCATCTCTGTAACCGCTAGATGGCTGCCGTATCGCCATAATAGCCAGCAGTATTTGTCTCAACAATCGAACATCCTGTATGATGTAAATTACTCCTAAAATGGTTAAAGCTTTATTTGGATTTGAAACGCATAGCTGTTATATTACTTCTGTTTGCGATACGTGAACTTCTGCTGCTGAGTAGTGTTGTATTGTGCTGTGTAACTGTGTTTTAGATCATCAGAATGAGTTTTATTTTGATTCTTACTGCTGTTTAGTTCCTTTGTAATGATTCGGTCAGTACCGACCCATCTCTATTTTCCACATCGAACAAAGCGCAAATCAGGATCTTCCGAATTGTCACGTTTTCCTGTTTATCCACTCTGCAGCGTGCAGCCGGCGTTATTGTACAATCGCAGCTTTATGTTCGCTCCAAATTAAACTCAGCCGTTTTATGATGTAGACAGAAAAGAGAGACGGTGAGAGGATTTCATAATAAAAAAACACAGTCTCTAATCAAGAAAAGGTCC